GAGAGGAGAGGAAGAGAGAGATGAGAGATCAATCCACGGACCCGCCCATGGCGCAGAATGAAGCAGACTGATGGCACGGGGGTGCCCTGCCAAGCGGTAGTCGGCAGAGCTGGGATTCGAGCTGAGATGTCTGTCTCTGGCCACGTGCACGTCTGAGCGTGACGCGGGCCGGCTCCGTCCAGCCTGCCGTTAACGCCTGGCTTAAAAAGTGACAGCGTGACTCACATGGGTTTTATACATGCCCCGTGAGCAGCTCATTCTGGTCGTCGTCAACATGCCTAGATTAGCATAATGACACTTAAATATGCCTAAGGTGTATTCAAGCGACAGTGCTTATGACTGACTGATTTAGAAAAATATGCTTAGAAGATCAGAGACATGGCTACGCCAGTTTTTCACGGAATCGTGAGATACCATGTAGAGAGCTCATGATCAGCCTTTATAAATCATAACCGATGGCGTATTGGGGTAGATAGAAGAATAAACAAACATTAACAGAAATATAAATAAAAAAACAACAATATAACACAATATACATTTAAAACACAATGGTTTCTTATATAGAGAGATTTAAAAATATGTGTGTACATTTTTCAAAACCCAATTGACTTATAATAGAACTAAATAAAAACATCAAGTACATAATATCACAGGAAGTATGTGAATGAGACAAAACAACTCGTAAAGGAAATTGATGTATTAGCAACACCGAATTAACATGTGTTGTACCTGTCAATATAAAAGAATGTGTCAGCCCTCCGTGGGGAGTCTGGCTACTCCAGACAGTCTGGGCTTGAATTCTGACTTGCCACTTGGGGAAGTTATTCAGCCTCTCTGAGTCTCTGTGTCTCATCTGCAAACTTATGCTACTAAAAGTTGCTGATTCCTAAGGTCATTGTTAGAATTGTGTGAGCGAATATAGGGAAGTGCTTAGGACAATGCCTGAAATATTACTTATTGTTATAAGCAGAGGGCACAAATGACAATATGTAAGAGGCCCCTTTACAGAAAGTCCTAAGCAAGAGGCAGGCTGGAGAAGATGGAGTCCAAGTTCTTTATTGCAGACAGGTAGGAGTTAGTCATTGTATGCGTGCTCGTGTAGGGGTGGGGGTTACAATGAGTGTGGGCTAGGCAGCAGGGACAGTAGTCACAGAGTCTGCTTTGTGGGGTGGGAACGAAGAGTAAAAGTGCAGGGCATATTATAGAAGTGCATGTGGCATCTCTAGTGCAAGGGTCCTGGGGTAGAAAGTGATGAACCACAAGGGCCAAGCATTTTGAGGCAAGTCATAAGAAGGAATTGGACACCACACTAAGATTTGAAAGAAAAAATATTTGAGTGTCTGCTATGTGCCAGATACTTTTTAGTTTGGAGACTGGCTATAATAGTAAAAAAAAAAAAAAAAAATGTAAAGCCTGTAATGTTGGCATGGCCTAATAGGGAAGTTAAATATACATAATTAAATGACAACATGATAAATGCTTTAATTGAACATGTAACAAGTGCTATGAAAGCACAATGCCTACGTTAGTTTTTCCAGAGAGATGGGCAATGTCTTAACAGATAACTATATGCTCACCAAACAATAGGCAAGAAATCAGAAAGGTTATGTTATTTACCAAAATGTACACACATATATTTTTAAGGGAGACTTTATATAAATAGGGAACCATTTGCCTTCTCTTAAAAAGATGATAAAAGTTCTTAAGACATATATATTGGTCATAATTATATAG